TGTATATATATATATATATATATATATATATATAATATTCTTATGCAAGCGGATTCGTTAATGAAATTCATCAAGCACCTTGATTCAAGTATCTTTCACATTCATAAATCTACAATATTTTGTAAAAGTTAAAGAAGCTGTTTGTTGCACATTCATAGAACTCATGTCAGCTGGTCTGGTTACACTTATTGTGTTAATGCGTGATTATTCTGCTTTAATGATTTGGAGGCAATGCCACCGTTCTTCAATGATGTTCAGTTGGAAGAACAACGCTTTTGCTATGCCCTGCACCACATGTCTGAAAATTTGATGGAATTATATAAATTGATTAGAAGCACTGATAGTTTCCATCCTCATTCAGCATAGGATTGCTCAAGAAACAATCCTTTTTAAGGATGAGCAGTTGCGAGAGGCACAAGCCTGGATTACTCGTGCACAGGAAATGGATGCCTTGCAGTCAACTACCAACCACACTTTACAAGCTGAACTGCGAGAACGCACAGAACACTATAATCAGCTTTGGCTTGGTTGCCAAACGCAGGTGGTTAAGCTATAGTGATTGATATGTGATCCATGTTACATCTGACTGTTGCGTTTCGTTTCCAATGTATGCTAACTTAGTATCTTTGTTTTTATCAGTTTGCTGAGATGGAAAGACTCCATTTGCTTATACAACAGCTCCATCTTGAATTGGCTGATCTAAAAGAAAAGGGTGGGAGTAACTTGGATGGTTCACATAACGTGCAGAAGAATGCGAAATCTATATCCGAACATGGAAAGATCAATGACAGCAAGCTTGAGGTAAATGACAATACTTCACAAATTGCGGACTCTAGTGACCTGCAAAGTGGAAATTCTGAAATAGGTTCTGGAGTAAACATCTCAACTCAGGTAAAATATTCCTCCCTTGTTGGTTGCTTCTGTTGCTTGCCTGTGAAAGATAGCTGTCCTTACTAATTAATATCTTTTTCTTTTAAACTCTTGTTGATTTCCTTTTTCTTTGCGTTCATTTCTCTGCACCTCATTCACGCAGAACGATGTTCATCATATTCCTTTTGCTTCCTTTCCATTTTAAATTTATTACAATTCTACCACTTTGTGGATGCCGCTTAAAGAATAGCCTTCAATTATTGGGATTATATTCCAGGATGCATAAGATGAATTTTAAAATTAGGCTTTTTACAACATGTATCTGAAATCTTAAATTTCTGGTTTACTAGGGCGACCACAGTCAGATTACATTTGCTCCTTCATCTCTACTCGGTTTGCCGACTTACATTCCCACTGGGCAGATGGCTGCTTTGCATCCTTTTGTGATGCACCAACAAGGTCTGCCACTCCCATCACAAGTATTGCAGTCTCAATTTCACACTGTATCTGCAATACCCACTCGAAACTGGCAGGACCAACAAGTTAGTGTATGCTGCCATATTTTGTTCTTTTTGATGTGTGTTTAAACTTTAAAGTTCCAAAACTTTGTTTTAAGTTGACGCTTTTCTTGCTTTGAAGCCTCAGCCAAATGACCATAATGAGCCCACCCAGAACCAGTATCCTCCGGATATTGAACAAAATGTTTTAAGAACAGACTCTCGGTACGAATATGAAACTTCAGTGAATGGCCAAATAATTTGTGCGGACTTTCCGGATATGAAAATCAGCCAAGGTTTAGATGCCAATGCTGTGAGCCCATTAGCAAATGGAGAGGAACAGGTTGGTAGCTAAAAAAATTGAATTGAATATAGGATAATTTCCAGTATAACTTTTGTGTGTTTTGATTTCCATATCCTTCTCGTTGTCATTCTGTTGACATTATATAGGTTTTTGATATTGCTGATAAAACCTTTGACAAATCCCAGTCCCCACAGAGGTTGCAGCAGATATCTTCTCAGTTTCGCGACGCAATGAGCCTGAATCCTATTGAACTTGGCAAAGGAGCTGAGGTTTGATAACATTGATCCCTGCATTGACTTAGCATAATCTTTGTTTATTCATTAAAATCTGTGTTTCCTTGCTGTAAATTATATTCTGGGTGTGATTAATAGTTCATTTTATTCTAATGCTATCTCAGGAGAAACCAGTCCAATCAGTGACTGACCAGGAAGCAGAACACCAGAACATAATGTCTGAACATCCAAATCTTGCTGTTAATGTATACACATTTGAAACAGTGGCTAATGCTGAAACTGTAAGTGAAGCAACCACAGATGCTGCCTCGAGTGTAGATTTGGCAGATACCAATGTTGCTGCTGGGCAGAAAAATAACATCATAGGAAAGCCCGAGGACAGTTTTCTGATTGACGAAAGAGCATTGCTGGCTTCTATAGCCCGTGCAATAGGATCTGGAGGAAGAATAAGGATCAGTACAACGGTCAGCAAAACAATTTTATTGTTTATATGTTTTGGCAGTATGCGTGTTACTGTCTTAGAACATGACTTGTAACTGGTGTATTTTGCAATGTATGCGCACAGCTTCCTAATCGACTTGCCAAAATGCTTGCCCCGCTTCACTGGCATGATTACAAAAAGAAATATGGGAAGCTTGATGATTTTGTGGCCAGTCATCCAGAGGTATGTCATCCTTTTTCCGTGTTTTTATAACTCCCGCAGTCATGCTAGCTAGAGGTTTGACCTAATTACAGAAAGGCCTAATTAAAAATATACCTGATGAAGCTTGTCATCTGCTAATTACTTGCTCATCTACATAGGGTGCATTTGTAAAATAAAATCCAATATCAATTTGCTAATAAACATCATTTTTTAGAACTTATTTATCCAGTTATTTTTGTTGTTGCTCTAGCTATTTTCTATTGAGGGGGACCATATTCAGCTCCGGGAAGGGGCCCAACAATTGATAGCAGCCACAGCAGCTGTTGCTGAAGTTGCTGCAGCAGCTCCATCTTTTTATTCATCGTTCTTTCCTTCTGTGGTGGTCACGCCCATGGCTCAGTCCCGACAACGACTAAAAATGGCAAATTTTCCTGAGCCTGTGGGAGCCAAACCAAGCAACGGGCCTTCTCAGCTCCCTGCTGCTCAGACTGAGAACATGAATGGCTGTGGTTCATTTCATGTTGATAGTGGATCGAATGTGAAGACTGTCAGTAAGGCTAAAGATCGCTCGGGCGTGAATGTCCATGGTTATTCTCAAAGGAAAGGTGCACACAACAGGTGTTTTTCCTTGATGCCTCTTCAATTTGCACTTCTTCTTTCTGCTTTTGGCGATATAGTTTCTGAACTGAACGATATGGTACTTTCTGTATATTTTTCAGGGCAGTAGGAGCTTCATCAAGTCTAAGAAGATAGTAAGTTATATTTTTCTACCAAACATGTTTTATTTTTCATAACCACATTATTTTTTTGCTTGCTGTAGTTTGTGGGATTTTTGGCTGCTTGGCTGTATTCATTATATTAAAACTTTGTGTATCGGGGAAATTGCTTTCTAAGATAGCTATGTGAAGATATTTAAAAAGTTAAATGTAAATTGTTTGTGTAGTGCCTGTGATATAATGTAGTTATCTTAAAGATGCAACAAGGAAAGCTTCACTTGAAGTTTGAGAGACTTGAGCTTTTCTTTTCGTTTGCATCAAACTGTTTATGTGGAGATGTTTATTAAATTAGCTAAACTTGAGACTTCTGATTATCTATTTAATCTTACAGTTCGATTGTTTCCTTGGATACAGGGTGATATATTTTGGATTGCATTTGGTCGATTGCTTTGAACTGAATTATTGGCATCCAAGGGGTAAGCGAAGAATTGGAGATGGTTCATGAATGAATGCCGTAAAAACCTAAGTTGTATCTCATGAGTGCAATTTATTTTCTGAGCCGAGTATGTAGTTGATTTACAACATAACATTATTTTCAATTAAATTGGGAAATCTGGAATTTT